GCGAAAGACTGGCGACCTGTCCAGGGTGTACCCCGCCTCTCGCCCATTGACAGCTCTACCCGTCGTGACCCCAGCTAGGATAAAGTGACAGAAAATCGATGATTGAATGTCAGAAAACTGATAAGGTCTTGTTCTGTCCTCCATTAAAACTCCTGATTTGAATTTTTTTACTTTTTTAGACCTTCCACAAACTGCCCTATAAAGGATTAAGGCTTAGCAAGAGTACTTAAGGCTTCAGGATGTGATTTCACCATCAAGTATTTCATAGATTCATTTCACTTAGCATAACCAGCCTTCCATATGAAAGACACAGTTAGAAACAACAGTGAGATTCAAAAACACATTAGCTAAAAATAGGCAAGTGACTAATCTACTGCTCAGGAGGACTGCCAGGTCAAGAGATTACTGTAGACATGTGAAAATACTCTCAGAGTGATCCCTTAAAGCAACAACACGTCACTGAGTCATTAAATCGGGGGCAGGCGGCTTTAAATGCGCCCTGAAGAAAAGTGGGGTCTGTTGCTGTCGTTAGCCATGCTGTGTCTGCTGCTGACGAATTAACACCATTGGTTCAAATAGAATGCTAAGTGCTTTCTGAAAGATCTATGATTGTTTTTTAATCAGTTCCTACACTCCACAGAAAACCGATCCATTCTCCTGCTATATAGCAGAGTTTAAGACCATCTAAATTATCCTTCTAATGCCCTCCACGATGTTATTTGATCTATTACATCAATATTTCTCTTGACTTTTCTGAGTCTTTTTGAGTTAGGATCATAAAGAAATTAACAAAGTGCATCTATTGATTAGTGGAAGAAGAACCTTTTGGCATAAAAAACAGTTTACAGCAGGTAAACATTGCCTTCTCATATAAAAACTATCCTCTGATAACTGAAAAAGTGACTACGGAAAGAAACAAAGCAATGAGGGTTGATGAAAAAACTTTAAAAAACGCCTTTAAAGACTTTGAGAGAGCTTCAAGAAGTGGTGCTGAGGATGGGTTTTAGATTATGAGAAATGCTCATCTACTGGAAGCAAAACAAAATGATTTAGGATGACACAAAATCATTGGCGCATTGCAATACATTAAACAGCTCATCCCTGAAGAAGAAAAACTACGCCTTCCTTTTTCTCTCACATACCAGCCATAACAAGAGCAGCTACGACGTCACAGCGGCCAGTCATAGCAGCTTTGATGAGGGCTGTGAACCCTCTGCAGTCCCTCATCTCTGTGTCTACACCAGGGTAGTAGTTCAGGAGATACATCACCGTTAATACATGACCTGCAGGAGAAAGAACAATCTCAGAGACCAAATGATCACCTTAATTCCCGGCTTAATAAATATGTCCACAACACCTTAACTTGACATCATTCATTGAGTATAGGTCTTGCATTTCGTTGCACTCACCTCCCTGAGATGCAATCATTAGTGCAGTGTTGCCTTCATTGTCCTGGAGGTTTACGTCTATAAAGGGACAGTCATGGAGCTTGTGCACAATATCAAGAAAACCCTTACAGCAAGCCACCATCAGGCCATTCTGTTGGTAGAAATCAGAGACAGGCATCATTACCTACAAAGTCTTAAAAGCTAAAAAATAACTCCCATGATAAATCCCTTTCTCACCCATCCATTGATGTCCTGCTCCATCACCTCCTCTTTTGTCACCCCTCTCTCCAGAACTCTCTTTAGAGCGGCAGAGTCATTGCGGGCACATGCCTCATACACCGTGTTGGCTGTACTGCTGGTTTCTGCCTCCTTTGTGTAGTCAGGGAGCACAGAGTCATCAGAGAGGATACTGTCAGATTCCGAGTCCTGTCCTGATGTGTCGTCATCATCTGGACCTGAGCCCAGATGGGGGTCCTCTGCTGCAGTGGCCATCCTCCAACAGAACCACTGGAATGGGACTCAGTCCAACTTGTTTGGTCACATCTATTAAGATTAGACAGAGAAGTAAAAAAAAAAAAAAAAACATGTCAAAGATGTTGAGAGCTGCAAGACCTGGTACCTGGTACCAGAACATTAGTGAACAAACAGCATCAGGAAGACCAGAAACTCAGCAGGCATGCAGAGGTCTAAGCTGGAGGGATTTTGGAAGTGAGATTCAGAGAGCAATTCCATAAATCTGTCCTTAATAGAAAAAGGAAACCAGAAATAATTTTTGGAAGGAAACTCATGAATGAAGCGGATGCGGTGGAAAGTGGTTTGCTTTGATGACACCAAAGTATTTTGCCCCAACTGTAAAAGGTTAACATCACACATCGCTCTGAGCACAACATTCCCACTATAATGCATAGAGGTGGCAATATTATGCTGTGTTTTTTTTCTCCAGAGAATAAAGGGAAGGTGGTAAGAGTTGATCGGATTGAGAGATATGGGATAATCCTGGAAAAACATGCTAGCGACTGCAACAGAGTTGAGACCGGAAGATATTTTACCTTCTAGCGGTAAATCAACTCAGCAAACAGCAAGAGCTGCAGTGAAATCTTTTAAATTAAATAGCCTAGTCATTGTCAAGACCGAAACCCAACTGAGAATCGGTGAAAAAAAAAAGGAAAGCAAGACTCAAGAGTTCCCTTTTTGACAGGTTGGAAAAGAACTAAAAGAGTCAAGGATTATGATTCTTATGTCGCTGTGTGTCACAGGTGTAACACCATCAGATCAGTGTGCCTTTACTGGGGGGGTAAGTGGATCAGCGTTAAATACGCTGCAGAACTCAGGAGGGTTAAATGAGGAAACACTCATGGCAGAAAAAAGCCGTTCACGTGTGGAACCAGCATTCTAATCTTCTACCTCTGTTACTGATGTCTAAAACCATCAAATTATTAAACCAACTACCTTTTTACATCTTCTTCCTCACCGCCATCAGACAGCTGAACTGTTGAGAAAAACTCTTAATCATGTCGCTGACTCTGCATCACACTGATGACACCAAACCAAAAATGTAATCCTCTGAACTTTCATATAAATGTGCTATTTTTCACCACTTTTTTTCTCCCACGGTGTTTACATTTTTATCACTGCTGCACTTTAAGAAATGGCAATGTCATGAATGCTGTACAAAACAAATAAAATAAAAGACAAGTAAGTGTAGGTCTAAGTCTTAGACTTAGTTGTCTAAGTCTATAAATCACGCACAACAAATGTGATGATAGAAGAAGTTATTTGCCTCAATTTAATATAAGCAAATGGAATTCATATTTATTTTATTTCTGTAATAAACCTCTGCTGAAAGATGATTTGAAGATTAAGTTGTGTTTTAATCCTACATGTTTCCAAAAGCTTATTGAAAGGAAATAAAAACCCTGTTTCATTGTCAACCAGAGCCTTGTTTTAAAATAGCAAATTAATGTGAAGATAAATTTAGTAAACTCACCAATAAACACAGGGCCACACCATTATTATTCCTTGTAAATATTGTCGGATTTCTCCTGGTGTCTTTCCCGAGCAGCTGTCAGAGTTTCCTCCAGTTCTTGCCATTAGATCAACGTTACCCATTCCCAAACCGTCATAGGAAACTGGGAGGAGAACTTTGTCACACAGTCCTCATGGAGACACTGTTCACTTATCTGCTGTGCTCGGTTCATCCCTTTTAAAACAGCTTTCAGTAGAGGGGATTACTTACCTCTCAAACCAATTTCATCGTTCTTTCCCTTATTGCTTCAAAGCTATAAACTCTCTTCAGTTCCTTGCCTGTTGTTTGCATTTGTCTATTTTTGTTACTTTATCTATTGGATTTATTTAAATTCTCATTGGCCTGTAAAATAGTGACAAAATATATGATATAGTTAGAAATTAAATTACTGGAAAGATAAAAGAACCTTACAGCAACACGTTGGCTTGATTTATTTTCTAAAACAAAAATAATAAACTCTTTATTTCCCCATATTTATTTTGAAAGTAAATTTAAAATAAAGCATTCTTTTTATTTTTTTTAATCCTGCAATCAGGTAATCAACCAAAATGTAATATAATAATTAAATAAGTGTAGGCTGCTTATGAAGTGAAATTTAATTATTTACTAAGACACTAATATCCCATCAAGTGTCACCAACATGCTTTGAACTGATCCAGGAAGTAAAGTCACTGGGAAGCAACTCTAGTCCCAAGTTCAGAGCCTCGTTGCCAGAATGATGCTGGGTCTTTCAAGAGTTTTATGTCCTCCAGTATGATCACAACTATGTGCAGATGGCTTTTTTCATGTTATTCATAAAGATCCAGAAAGAGCACAGTGTGAAAAGCTTTAGCCTATTTAATTCTGAAACAGCTTTGTGACGCAAGTACTGGAGGACAGCCCCAGAGCTTAAACACATATGGTTCAGCACCTTGGTAAAGTATTCTTAACCCATAATCTTTTCCAGATTCATCTATCCACAAATCTCAGTGTTTTGCACACTGGTTTTATGTGAAAAAAACAAAAAACAACTGAATTATCATACAATTGTTTATGGGAAAAAAAGGGAATGATTTTGAACTTTTATGACAAACTGGAAAATGTGGCATTCAACTTACTTCGGAAGTCATATAAGTATAAAAGAAAAAGAAGTACAGAAATCTACAGCTCAGGGTGGAGAAACAGTTTATAGAATAACTGCTTGTCATTAACTCCATCAAAGATAAACCATAAATATTTAGCTCTATCTCCAAAATGCAGTTTGCATATTGCAAGATTTGTAAACAAACAACAGACATTGCAAAAAAAAAAGCTGCTCTAATAACTTTTCCATAAACTGTAAAAAACAAAGTATCACCTTTATAAGGTTTGAATTTGATCTTGCAACATATCCATTGTGTTTAATAAATGAACAGCACAAAGTAACTTCCAATTTTTGTTATTTTTTTTAAAACTAATTTTCAAATTTAATACATTCTCCATAAATAACATTCCATTAATCACAGTGGTTTTCATTCCATGTTTTGCAAAACGAGTGTTTGATTTTTTTCATGGTTCTTAAACTAAAAACATAAAATAATTAAAAACAGTTTTTGTAAACTTGAAAAGCTATTCTCATTTTTTTTGTAAGTTATTGGGTAAGCTTAAGCGTTGTTTAAGAAAGTCAGGCATAAATCTGCTTGAGAATCTGGGTTAAGGCTTGAAAAATGTATTTTTACAGATGATTTCCATTCAAACTAATAAAACTTGAACTATTTAAACCAGTCTCTAGATGTATGATGCTGACTTACTCCAAACTGACAAAGTATTAATTTAAATTTTATTAAAAAAAAAGAAAATTAGAAACCGCTCCTCCTATGCTTTCTCTTTACAGTTAAACTCTGTCTTGATCACTTCCACAAAACATACTAAAAGTACGAAAGCAAAATATACAGAGATGTGAATAGTTTAGCAAGGAACTACATGTTTGAACCCTGTTTGTTTTTCTGGAAACCGAACAAAGGATCTGTGGGATGAGACCAGACCTGCCTGGTTTGATTGACTACTAATCATCCCCACCAGCCTAAGGAGAGAGGAGTGCATGGCTTTTTGTCCTTTTGGAACCAAAGGAAAAAGAAAGATTTGCAAGAGAGAACAAGTTGTTTTCTTTGACCTATTTTCTAGATCTAAAGTTTGATGATGCTGAAGTTTTTCTAAAAATATTTTTAATGGAAAGACAACAACAACTAACTGGCAAGAAGCAGACTCAAGATGAAAAATCAAAGTGAAGATTTTGGCAAAAACGCAAAGGAAGACTGAGAGACCTGATAGATAAAGTAAGTCTTCGGTCTTCTGCACCACATTTTTCGGGTGGAAAAGTAAAACTAATGTTGTAGCTGCTCTCCGTTATCAGTAGGCCTGGACAAATACAACACTGGATGAGGCAGATGTTTTATAAATATACCAGAAAGTAAGAAAGTCTCAAACATTTAGGGTTTCATTTTCTTTCTTAGATCACTTTAAAAGCATTTATTGAGAAGTATATTCAACTATTTCATGTTACAGTTTTTTTTTTTAATCTGTTTCAATTTTTTACTCATCTAATAACTAATGTATTTTAACTTATACAGAATTAGATTTTACAGGTAAACTAATAAACTATGATTTAATGAAAACAGATATTTGTTTGTTTTATTTTTGACTGTACACAAAGATCCAAAACAGTTTTCAAAAGAATTTATCAAAATTGGAGGAAAATTAGAACTTGCTTTTTTTCTTACACTTTAAGATCTGAGCCATCTCCAAAAAAAGAAAAAAAAAGAAAACAAAACTAAATGCAATGTTTAAATGCTATCAATTGTAATAGCCTGAGGTGTATATGTTGTGTAGTTTTAGGTTCATTTGATCTTTGCCCCTGAGAGAAATTCCACAGATGAGATAAGAGACAACATTATTTGACAAATAAGCAAGAAGAACAGTGAAGAGAGGTGAAAAAGTGATAAAGACATACAATCACTTCTCTTTTAAGCCTTACACCTTTAGTACCTTTATGTAATGTTGCAATCTTTGTAACTTATTTTCAACCTTCTGACTTCCTTGCTTGGTTTTTTGTTGTTTGGACAGGATTTGAGGGACCAGCAGGGTGTGCCATCAGATGAGGACTTTTAGGAGGTCCAATATGGCTGCAGGATGTGCAGGTACAACTGAAAGGTACAGGGCCTTGCAAATTTTATTGGGATTAAACAAAAGGTTACAGAAAATTGTAAATGCAGGAAGAAAATTATCTTAGTTTACAAATGAAAATATCAAAGTCATCGAATCCATGGATTGGTGAGCCACTGTTTGTTGCATTTACAGGTGCAATGATTATTAAGTGAGTTGATTCTAGTCTGAGTGTTTTTTTATATTTTTTTTAATCTAAAACTTTTTTTGCCTATGCTAAGAAAAATGTGATTCAAACAGAAGGATAATATCATCTTACAAGATTAACATCTTTGCCCAGCAGTTGGAGTAGGCCAGTCTATCTTTCCATCAGCTGTTAGCAGCTTCGCCTGAACATGATGCAGCCATCGTCATTTGTCATTATGTTGTATTTGGGGTTGTATGCAGTGGTAAAGTTCCTACAAACATGTTAAACTTGGATTTCAACTAAGTTAAACACCTCCATCCAAACATGTACTGTGTCAAATACATGACCAGTGGAGAGTGAAAACTGGGACTTCTTAGCTAGTTACTTTATTTATTTTTTTGCTCTTTACACTCCTGCATAAAGAACAGTTTGTTGGAGAGAACAACTAACTGTTGCCCCCTCATCATATTCTCCCACCTGAGCTATAGATCTTTGCAGCTACCCTTAAGTTGCAATGGGTCATTTGGCTGTAGTTTTAGATGTAGTTTTTGGGCCATCGTTTTTCCATTTCAGACAATAAATGGAGCACATCTCTGTGATATGTCCAGTTTAAGAATCTTAAGCTGTCTGGTGTGTTTATGTGGTTTATATATGAATTGATTCCACTGGATTTTATTCAGGGTTAGCCAAGTTTAGTGGGCTAAGTAAATGCATGACATACTTTCAAGAGATTGGGAAAAAATAAAAGCTTGATTTAACATTACAAGCTTTTGGTCTATCACATAAAATATAAATAATATAAACAAATAGATATTGTTAATAGTAAACATTTTCAGGGTTTTGAATAGTTTTTCTATAGTCTGCATAATTGTTATAATTAGAAAAAAAAAGGCTAAGAAGATTTCATGTTATGTTAAGGTCTTCAGATGATATCCTTGTTAAAACAGGCTGATTGTTTTGTCATTATATCCCTGTTCAATTAACATATTTGTCATACTTTTGAAGTCAACTGACTAATTTCTGCTGCCTGCACCCTTCTGGACCCCCTTGAAGGGGAGCTGTGCTCATATCTGTCTTTTTTGCTGATGAGGGCTCTGCCCTAAAAACACAGGGTGACCAGAGGCAAGGATCTCATATTACACAGTACTGATGATTAATTACAGACTTATAAAACTTGTGTTTGCTCACATTAATAGGCATGCAGCTGCAGTAATCCTGCATAGTGGGGAGAATTCTGTGTACCAAACAGATATGAATCATAATGTCAGCACAGTTTGTTGAAAGATAATCTGATGTTTGCATGTGGCTGTTGTCAGTTATTTTCAGTCGGTTTGCACACAGAACCATGTGTTTATATATGGAGACAGAAGCATAAGCTTTTTCTTTGGTCTTTAGAGACTTCTTCCATGATTAGGTTTGTTTTAGTTTTTGCACAAACGTGTTTTAATCTCCTGTTTCTGGCGAGTTTAAACAGCTGTGCTCAGATCATCAATGCTTAATTTTGGTTTTCTGCTTCAGTCCTGTCTGCTCTGAGTTATCTATTATGGTGGTTACAATATTTTGGTTTTCTACTCGAGCAGTGACACAGTTGCTGTTGTAAGCGTTATGACGCGCCACCCAGGCATGATCTGTTTGTGTGGTATGATCTGTGGCAGAGCTAGATTTCTGATGGTTGCTGACTAGTCCAGGCATTCCTTAGTGTAAGCACTGTAGCTGAATACTTGAACACTAGCTGTGTTTCCATCAAATAGGGCAAATTGTAATTATGCAGAATAAATTAGCTAAATGGAAACACTTCAATAAAAAAAAAAGTTTCAATTAATGTTTCAAGGCTTCAAAGAGGTGGTTTTTGGTGGTTTTGAGGTGGTCATATCAAAATTCTTATATTTTGCCAAACTGAAATGGAAAAATTTTTTTCTTGCATGAGTCATATCATCTGCAACTGGACCTGCTGCCTGGTAAAAGGGATGAAGAAGAAAACCGGAAGTTATTGGAAGATGATGGCGCCCGCTAGAGCCGTGGCTGATGGATATGTCTCATATTTCAATTTAATTCATTTCAATTCAATTCAATTAAAAAAATAATTGATTAATCACAAAGGGAAATTAAATGTTGCAGTAACAATTTTTTTAAACAGGTGCTGTAGTAGTTGATAGCTGTAGGCAAGAAGGATCTTTCTCTAGTGGTCTGTCTTGCACCTAATCTGGAGAAGCCTCTGACTGAAGACACAGTTGTTGTTTAAAAATCTTCTGAAGTGGAGGCTTACTGTTGTCCAAAATGTTCTTCACTTTATGAAGAATTCTTCTCTGTGAAATAATCTCCAGTGGTTCTACAGGAGTTCCTAAACCTGAGCTTTTTGCGTTTCTTTCAGTAATTTGCTCTGATGCTTTTACCCCAGCAGATGATGGAATAAGAGATCACACTTTCTACAACAGACTTATAGAACATAAGATATGTTTACATCCGTGCTGCCATGCTGTTCTCAAGAGTTATCTTGTGAACGAACGTATTAATCTGCAACTTTTATTGTATTTGATATTTTATGGAATACTTCAATTGTGAAACTTATCTCCATAGCTTTGCGCAAATTTTTAATAGAAACACAGCTAGTGAAGGTTGTGTCGTGACGTGGAAGTTTGCATCAAATCAAAACAATCCTGTCACGCACCAAGTCTTATTTGGACAAAATTGTTTAGCTTATTATATACAACAAATGTTGATGTTAATTATATTTTTACCCTGGGATATGAGATGGTTCTAATATAACAGATATAATGCTCATTTTGGTGTTTTGCAGGATGGTGTTCATTCAGAGCAATGTGTGAGTATTTTTTGAGTTGTTTCAGTTTTATTCATGTTAGCTCTGTGACTTCAGTGGTAAATAAGGTTACTCTTATTCAGACTAAGCTTTAGTAAAAATAGGATTCAGACTGCTGGCTTTACAACATGGCTATTTTTCCTTTTTTGTGTGTAACTTGTTTTAATATTTGCCTAGACTTGCTACATCTGTGTTCCAGTTGTGTTGGTACATCTGCAGCTGGTTATGTTTTGGTGCGGCGGCGTGCATCATCTGAGGAAGGATAGAACACGTTTTCAGCTCGCTGAATGGTAGAAGAGGGAACCTGCTAGCCAGAAGCTTTTGTATGTTTGCACTGTCCCCTCCAAATACAGTTTCATTTTATATTTTACTTTTGATTCATTTTGGTATTTGTTAGCTGTTTAAGTTAAGTTTCTATTTTTTTTATTTGTTTTTATTAGTTTCAGTTAGCTATAGTTTTCATTTTTTATGTTATGTGATTTACATACCAGGGACAAGACTAAAATAAATACATGCATAAATAAGAGAAATATAATCTTAGAAAAGGACAGACTGCTTCAGCAGCACAAATGACCTGCCTGCTATACCTGCCATCTACTGGTGTAATGCAGTACAACAGAAAAAAAGCAAAGAAAACAAATGGAAACTAGACCTCCTATTAATGCATTATGATAAAGAAACAAAAGAAAACTAAGCACATTCTCTCCTACTCAGTTTTAATTAATTTTGTAAAGTCTTATCAAAGTTTCAGTGTTTTTTTCCAAGGTCTAGTTTTTATTTTTTACTTCAGCTAACGAAAGCGCTTTTTTGATTCTAGTTTTCATCATTTCATTAGTTTTAGTGATAATGTGATTATGACCTTGTTCTACAGAACATACCACCTGAGCAGCAGATCTTTGAGGCTCCTTTAGAGTTACTCTAGACCTCTAGGCTCCCTCTCAGATTAAAGTTCCTCTCACTTCATAAAGAAAGCAATGCATGAGACCTCTTCTTTCCATTTCTAGATGTGGGTTAAAACAGATCTCTGTGGGCAAAAGAATAACAACTGTGACAGATCAGACCCAGTAGTAGACCCATTATAATGTAATGTGATATTTATTCATATGGAACCGTATTTGCATTTTTGACATAAAATTGAATTGTTATGCTTCCACTTCTCAATTAGCCACTGCTTGTAATGGCGAACCAGATAGAATCCAAGTAAAATACATGCATGTTTGCGGAAAAGTTGTGTAAAACCGATTTAAGAAATTGTACAGGTCGATTCAATATAGTCATGTCCCTTCTTTAGACTTTTGAGGCAGATAATATCTCTCTCTTTTTAAAATGCTTCTTTAATACTGAGCCTGTTTTTTTGTAAACAAACACTGAATCTCTCGTTTCACTCTTTAAAAACAAAGACATTTTATTCTTTAACTCAAGGATCCACACTCTATTATCCAAATAGCAGACTAAAATGTAGAAAAAAGCCAGGCTTATAAAATATGTATATTTTACCCTGTATGAGTGGATCTTCCACAGGAAAAAGACTCATCGTTGGTCCTTCCTGCTGAGACCTGTGCATGAACCTAATGCTCCAGCCCGGTTTCCTGTCCCACTGAACTTCCGGGTATTTGTACTCATGCTCTATCTCAGCCATCTCTGCCCTGAAGGAACAGCATCATGCTCTCATTGAGACGTCTAAAATCAGTGTGCTTCGATTTAACCATAATACACATATTTCCTTGCTTTCACAAAAAAAGAATATTTTCCCATAAGGTGGGTTAATTGTTAGTTTTACCAGTATATATATATATATATATATATATATATATATATATATATATATAAATATATATATATATATATATATATATGATATAACAATATCAATACTTAGGCTATGTGGCTGTGGATGTGGGCCGCTACCCTGCTCTGAGAGTGCATTAGAAACAGTCTCAGTAATTAGCTCTTGTATATCCTGATCCAAAAAGCCCTGATTCACTTCCTGTGATCATTGGTACCAACTCTAAGAAGCTGCATTCTCTGTTTGAGAAAACAGTAGAGCGTAAGCAAAAGCAAAAATCCTTGGGGATTTGGGCTTGAACAACTGACCATGTGATATCAAATGGCCCTAACAAAAGTGTAGTTGCCCATGTAAAGTGGCAAGGACCTCCACAAGGAGCAAACTTTGCCACCTGTCAAAAAGATATAAAATATATATATCTTATAACAATATAATAATATCAATAATTAAAGCAGTCATGACTTTGTATTTGTCCATGTTTCCTTGAACACTCTTTATTCAGACATCTCAAAGTTGGTTGGGTGATTTTGTAATATTAGTTTAGTTTAGTTTAGTTTATTTAGGATCCCCATTAGCTGTAGCAAGCTACAGCTATTCTTCCTGGGGTCCAACAACAAAACATGAAATAAAGATATGTGGTTTTAAAATAGGCCATGCTGGCACCTAGATTTTCTACAAGCAGACACAGATACAGATAAAAAGAAACAAGATGCTTAAAAAAGTAGCTGGATATTAATTTTATACATTGCATTTTTATGGCAAGTAATCAAAATGTATTCCTCAAGAGTCTTATCAGAACAAATATCACAAGGGGCTATAGGCAGAACTAATGAAACAACAATTAAAATAAAAGTAATAAAAATAAGTTATAATTGCATCTTAAAATAATAAATAAAAAGGCCATTCATTCATAAAAGTATTTAAATTCATCGAAAGAGTCATCTCCTACAAACAGTACATCACCAATTGTATAATGTAAATATTTTTTATGAAATCTGTAAAATAAATCCTTGTAAATGAAAGAGTTATGTAAAAAGAAAAAGCACTATGGACTGAACCCCTCCTCCTCCCTGTCCTTAATCTGGTGTGGGGAACTACTATAATATTAAAGGCAATATAGGCAAAGAGCAGAGGTATATTTTGTTAGAAGATTACACATACAATCTGGCGCTGGGTTGCTTAGTGCTTAATATTTCAGCATAATTGTTTTAAAATGAAAACTAAACTGTTTTGGTAGCCAGTGTAAAAAACATAGAATATGGGGGATTTGGGTTTCCTTGTTAGGACCTGTGAAAAGTCTGGCCATCACGTTTTGTATGGCTTGGATGTCAGAAGCAATAGCAATAATCTAAGCTTGATGACATGATGCATTATATATTTTTTCCCAATTTGACTCAGGAGACTATGTAGAATGTTTTTTTAATAAAAGAAACAGGAAAAGACATAGATTTCACAAAAGAGCCAAGGCAATTGCAAAATGAATGCTAATTGGTTATATAGATAATGATAAAGGATGAATAATAGTTGCAAATTTAAGCATAAAAGGTGCTACAGCCAGATAGGAAACAGTGTCAAGAAAGGCTGATTAAGCTGACATGAACAGAAAAGGGAGGGGACTGAATGTGAGGAGGGACTTGGAAACAGATGCTGGTACAGCAGTACAGCTTGTATCCGTCTCCCATCACAGCTCCTCCTCTTTCCTGCCTCTGTATCGCTCCCTCACTAACCCTCAGCCCCACTTATAATCTGTCTCAGTAAACATTGAGGTTTAGATCCAAAGTCACGAGCATCTCTGACTCTCATACCTTTGTCACCACACCATGGAATGTGGTTGTTAGTTTTCTTTTGACATTTTTCCCTCCCATCAGATTTGGAATATGACTGTAAAGCTATCTGCACACTTTTCCTCTCATTCACCTCGTGGATTACTGCAGGACTAGAGTGATACTGTGTTTGTGTCTGCTTCTGATGGTGTCGAGTGGAGCAGCACGAGTGGATCACCATGAGAGGGGGTCACCACCAGCGAGGCTGTGGGTGTCAGCATCTGTTCAGGCAACTTCTCAGTAATTGTGGCTGCTGCTTTGTCAGAAGTAGAGGTATGTACCGTCTGCTGATCAGTCAGACCTCTGCTGGACGTAGATTTCAAAACTGGAACTAAGACCCTGTTTAAAAAACTTCAGTGATGTTTGAGAAAGTCTCTGTGATTTCTTTTTTTTCTTTTACCTATTTGGAGATATGCTTCAGTTTTACTGACTGCCCAAACCAATTCCATATTATAAATGTTTCATTTGATCTATTATTTGCTTAAAAACACACATGTCCTATTTATAAATAGGTAACATGATTTAAAGAATTGTCATGGTGACTTACTGGGTGTGCAAGAACATTCTTAAAAAAACAGAGGGATATTCTCCGGTCTGTCAACATGAACTACACTGGCACTAATTTGACTTCATATGGGAGGAGAAAAGCTTAAGAAACGTCTGACACTGTAGTCCTGATTCTGTAAACATTTGGACGTCTGTGAATGTTAAACAGAGTTATTAAGAACATAGTAGCAACACATACAAATTACAACTGACGTAAACTGACAAAGAACTATTTCTTCTTACTGGAAGTATTAAAACACAATTTTTTTTTTCTGGCTACGCAAGAAAAAAATACATTACATTTTTAATTAAGTGTTGATAAATAAATATTCAGAAAAGGTTTCAAATGAAAACCTGCAGAGACACTAGATTGAAGAAGGGGCTATGAAAAAGGAATAGTGCTGTGAAAAAATAAAAGCTTGAATATTTTTGTAGGATTTAAATTCATTAAAAATAAAATTATTTTTGATCCCTAGAGGCATGCTTTAAAAATCTAAGAAATGATAGATTTTTTTTTTTTTTTACCCATGTTCATATCTTAGCTGATCAGATGTTTTGTTAGTATCAGAAGTATCTGGTAAAATATCACCAAACTGTCATGTTTTTAAAGTAAATGGCATGAAGTGTAATGTCCTGTCTCTCATCAATAGATGCTTTTTTACTGTGATGATTCATCCAGCCTCAGCAGCTGCTTCCAGTGGATTTGGGTCATTTCTATCTTTGGATTCTTTTTGAAAAAGATAGTTGTGATCTTTTTATGTTAAATCACTATTTCTAAGGCATCATTTAATCCTTTTTTTTTATTCAGTGCAAACTGACATCACTGTATTTCCCTTTTTGTCTGAATCCATCCAGCTGTTCCCTTTGGGTTCCTTCAGTCACATCGCTTCCATGTGCTTTACAGATGTTCTTCTTCCTAGTCAACCTACATGACAATGATTTAGTCTACCCAAAATTTGCTTGAATTCCTCTGTCTTTTTTCTTTCTTTTGGTCTTTTCTTTTGCATTCTGTAAATCTAAAAAATATTTGAACTTTGAAGCTTAAGTCGCTCCTTGTGCTTTTTTCTTTCTGAAACTTTGCTGGAGGCTGATTACATAATAAGTTTACCTGCTGGAAATAGTTGTGATGTTTTTTCCCCTTAAGTCAGATCTCATTCCATTACCAAAACAGCAATAGCATGGGAAAAATTTATCGTTGCATTGTTTTTTAAATTTTTTGGAATATTGTGGCATTAATCTAGATGTAAAACAAGGCATTCTGTAGCATCTGAGGTTCTGAAAGACATGCATATAAGAAAAGAGGTGATTCTTAAATCTTCCTTCTGTATCTAAAGCTGGTTTTTGGGAAACTAAACCAGAGTTTGAATATAGCAGTTGTCCTGTCAAAAGACTCTCCTCCCTGAGCTGTGAAACTCTTTCCCATTACCATTAAAAAGCATTAGGCTTTTCAATGTGCAGGTAATGAGTCGATACACATTTACCAGGATAAATTTACTCTCCATGGGCTTTGGTTCCTCTACAGAACATGTACTTTCTGGGCATTTTTGGAGTGTAGTTGTCTACAGTTTCAGTGCTTCATTCCACTAGCAGCTGCAGTAGCCAATGAAACTGAGTGTTGCTATTGCCACCTTAAGCTTGTCACAAAATGTGTTTTAAGATGTTCTTTTTTAAGTGAGAAAGTACACCTAAAAAACGTCATCCATTTAGTAATTTTCTTGAGAAATACCCTACTTTTAAATCGGTGTCAAATCGGCAGAGCCTCAGGTCTTCGGGACAGGCCAGTGTGGGCTAGTTACTTAGTCAGGAGTGGGATCTCAGTCTTAAGACTAAACCCCCAGACTTAAGATGAGTGGAGAGGTGTATGCAGTTCAATACAGTGAGGAATGCTCTGATCTTTATATTGGAAAACCAAACAACCTCTCCACACCCACATGGCTCAACACAGGAGAGTGACCTCCTCCAGACAAGACTCAGCTGTAGATATACACCTTATGGCAGTGTTTTTCAACCCTGGTCCTCAAGGAACACAGCTCTGCAGTGTTTTTCAACCCTGGTCCTCAAGGAACACAGCTCACATGTTTTTGATGTTTCTGAGCTTCAGCACACCTGATTCAGATGATTGCAGTTTAGCAAAGCCTGATAATCTGCTATCAATAGATAACAGGTGTGTGAAAGCTGGGAAACATCTAAAACATGCAGGGCAGTGTGCCTTGAGGACCAGGGTTGAAAAACACTGCCTTATGGAACTCAATGCTAATTCTGACATTTTGAATTGAAAAAGCTTCCTGGATGGGAAGCGAAATGTATTTAAACTTGGAAACAAAGTCCAGTGGATTGTTTTTAGTTTTTTTTCTTTTTTTTTTTTTAACTTTTTTGTAATGACAATGACATGGATGACTTCACCAGCAGATCTATGTCTGACTGCATCAACATCAGCCACTCATTTGGTTATTATTTGTTAAGTAAAAAGTCATTTAAATATGTTTTTAAGCTGGGAAGTACACTTCAAAACTTAATCTGTGTTGTCAGTTGATCTAGATTAAGATTGCACTTTAAAATGTGTTTTTAAGAGCAGTAGAGTCCCTTTGATAGACTAGACTGGGCTGCTAAGAAGGTTTTTTAAGCCTATTGGGCAGTAGTAGCTTTGGTAGTCCCGAAAAATGGTAATTAAATTCAGCCAGGGTTGTTTTGTAATTACTAAAATTGAATATAAAGCTTTCATCACAGCCAGAGTATAAAATGTAATACTTTGCCAAAAAAGTTTAGAAAATGATGAGAAATCGCACACACCCTGAGGAAGTTATGGATAGGTACTGGATCACAAAGACAACAAAAATCACAAGAATGAAAAACATGGATCTGCTCACTAGTTGTAGCTCCCAAACTGGTTTATTCACCAAACAGTGCCCTTCTTCAGACAACAAGATTTTGTTGTCTGAGAGTTTCAACATTTCAATCATTTCAAGCGTTTTTCTACAGTTTGAAGAAAAATCACTGTAGTAATATAGTTATAATCTGACAAAGCTTTCATTTTTCCTTGTAAAAACAAGAGATAATCATTTTCATTAGACTGTTTTTTATGTAAACTCAATATAGTATAGTGTGACCATTTATATACATGTAAAAATGAACATTTTTTATTTTCATTTCTAGTCCTTCTGTGGTGAGAGGGCTGCAAGAGATTTCATGAGTTGGATGCTGCCTGTTAGCTTGTGGAGATCCTTCCGATTTTGAATGTATTGCCTAGAGCTGCTATTGACATAAATATAGATTTAGGTAGGTTTGGATTTAAATAAATACATTGTCAACTAAAATACTCCCTTTTTGGGCTGTAGATATATGAGATTACCTGGGTATTATAAAAGAAAATAAATGTTTAAATACATTTTTAGATACATGTGAAAATACAGATAAATCATTTTTTAAAATGTAAATAAACCTTAAGCTTAGGATTTTACTTAAAACTGGAGGTGCAGAAAAAGAATTTCTGTTTACCGTCACCTGCTGGACTGGAGGTGTAGTGCAGCTTCTCTTTGGCTGATTGTTGCAGGGGTTTCAGAGTAAAAGGAAAGCACACTGGTGAATTACCCAGAATTCCTGTTACCTAGGTAATAAAAATCCTTTGAGAATTTTTGCTTCTTGACTACTTCTCTGAGAAAAGCTCACAGGATATGAGTATGTTTAGATGCGGTGGGGAAAAAAAATTATTGAATGCAGTTCATGTTCAGTCCTTTGCATTTAAACCAAATCTGAATCATAATCAGAAAACTTGGCTTATACTGCTACACACAGAATAGCTCAATTCTAAAGAGAGTTGTGAGGATGCCATAGCCCAGAGAGCACTGCTTAACCACAGAGGATTTCTCTAGCTCAACTGGCAACAGTTCTGTTAGAGAAATCTTCTCTAGCTCAGTAATGTAAACTTAAAAAGGTTATTTCTACAAAACATGAAAGGACAGAGAGAAGGCTGAAGTTTGCACAACTGTGGAAAAATATAAATAATATCTGTTTATAACTCCAGATCTGTACATAGAACAGACAAAGTTGGGACAAATAAAGTTAGGGTTTAATTCAGTTTTCATTGACACTGTTTAGATAAACATAGTGGAAGCATGGGAGAAGAAGACAAAAAAGTTTGCGCTTTCACATCTGAATTACAACATTTCAAAATATCCCCCTGATCACTAAAACATGGAGACATTGGAAGCAGTGACTCATCATCTCTGCTTACGCTCTCCCTCTTCCAAAAATGTTGTCTTAAAACACCCAAGACACTTTCATAATCAAGATTAACATGGCAAATCGCAGAAAAGTTTGGTTGAGGAGTCCCATATTATTTCTGCCTTTTTTTAGGCTAAGATTAGTTCCTATATATTTCTTTTTTCTTTTCAATATTTTCAGGGGCAGAGCTAAAGCGGTGCTGATTGGGACACCACATACAATTAAAAAAACTATACAACAGGAGCTAAAACAGAAGTTAAAAAAACAAAAGAAGATGATAAGAAGGCTGTTGAGGAAATGCTGATATCCATGAACACAAAAGACTTCACTGGCTGTGAACTTGAAACATTTATAACATTTATGGAGAGTTTGATAATCATGACTTTTTTGCTGAAAATGACTCAATACTTTGCAGCGTGATCCAACAGGAATTAGACAGGATTGATTTTGATTATGTTACCATCAATAAGCTATTCAAGCAGGTCAATGTCAGTAAGACAGATGCA